TTTAAGCTCTCAACTTGACATGCATTCATGAGTTTAAAAACTCTCTTACCCAGGAAAACTTGCCTTAATGTTGAAGTCCAGAAATGGAAAAATAACTTGGGGGAGAGGGGAGATTTAACAAGCTTGGACCAGAATTTTAAGAATACTTAATGGCTACTTCTTTGAATGTTTCCTTTAATAGTAAAAGCACTGCAAAATGATGGAGTATTTAGAGCTTTATAACAAATACAGCATCTGCATTAGACTTTTGACAGTAGTCTGTGATTCCAAATGACTGCATGTCTTCAAAAATGAAGCGTAGACTAGTAAATTCATATACAGATTAAAACTGTTTCCTAAGGCTAGTTAGGTTCATAGTTGAGAGCTATGTGATGTGTATTAAATTAATTGACCAAAGTCTCAACTTAGCACAATAGCAAAGGGGTCTGTGCTCAGGTGTAAACTCATGCAAATGAGTTCTCATAACACACAAGGACTACTCCAAAGCCCACTGAAGTAACTGGATCAGATTCTATATATAGAACTTCTTGTTGTCTCTGAGAGATAATTTAACTTAGAGTTTACAGTTAACGTTCTCTTATGTCCATGTGAGAATTTATTTGGGCCTTCTGTAGGTTTTGGTTTTTGTAACAAGTTGAGATTTAGAGATGAGTATTTCCTAAATTCTTAAGTGTTCTTCACCATCTTAAATTATTAAACTTGGAGGAGTTAAAAATTTTAACCTGAAGAGGTTGGTGATAGAGTTAAGACTCCAAAAGAGTTGCAGTGTTTCCTACTTGATGTATGTTTGCTGTAAATAGAGAATTGATTGTAAGTATGAATAGCTGTTGTGTGAAATAAACATCTGCTGTTAAATTGAGTTCTTGAATACAGGTAGTGTGCAGAACTGATTTGAAAGACATGAAATAACGAGCTAAAGTTCACACCCAAATATATGTACATTAAGTGTAAAGGTTTTGGGGGGGAAATGGAGTTCAGCAATCAGCCTTCAACTAGAATTGTTTCAGTATCACTAGTGCTTTGAAAATTATTTCTACATATTTAACTGCCTTTCAAAATAGCATATAGAGAAACTTAAGCAATTAGCATGGCTGATATTTAAGGACAATTCTACCTTTATTAACGGTATGTTAATCACTTAAAATTAATGACTTCATTCATTTCAGTTAAGAAAACAGTTAACGTCTAACGTTTATTAAGTATTTGGACACATTACCTTCTTGTAAGCAAAAGCTGTTCCTTGGATGACATAACTCATTCTGACAGAAGTTATGACTCAACAAAATTTCTGCCCAGTCCAATGTGATGGAGTTTGTTACTCTGGATTTGCCTCTGAGACTCGTCTTGCTGCCTTCTTTTGCTGAACTGACAAGACAGTTTAGGAGGTGTCTCCTGCCATACATATTCCTCATCAGCACACTGACTACCAACAATCCCCTAGAAAATAGATCACTTTATTATTTCCAGGAGTTTTGAGTCTAGAATGGAGGAAAGCTCTAGGAACAAGCTTGCTTAGCACCGCAGATGACCCTGTGATTACCACCTTCCCAGTCTTATATATTCAGCGGTTCCTTACCTGCCACTCTATCCACTGATCTGTTGCCTCCCATGTTGTTGTGAGAGACTGGGACTAACACCAGGGAGTTCAGTGTGGTAATAGTAGCAATTAAAGCAATACTTGCTCTCTTCACCTGGGTCAACATGACTCCATGACAAGCCACTCCACGTATCTGACACATGCTTGTGGATGCTCTAAAGAAAAGCAGGATCAGTTAGTGAACCAGTAGTGCCAAAGTGTAAGATGAAACAAAGCCTGCAAATATACAAAGCCTGAAAAATACTCCCTCAGTGAAGTCATATTCACATCGTTCAAATGGTTGCTTTTACTCCAAGGGATTAAAAAGCAGTAGCCTGTATTTTTTTTTTTCCTTCCACCTGCAGTCTTTCAGCCCCAGTGGCTATAATCTTTACTAGACAACTTAAAGCAGTGAGGAGAAAAAAAAACAGATTCCTCCTTGAAAGGCCAACTCCAGGAGAAGGTCAAATCCCAGTCCAAGACATGTACAGTACAATTTTTTAGGCACGTTAAGTGTGTCTTTGGAAATCTTCCCATCAGATAGCTTTCTTCCAAAAAGGATAATAGTTGAAGACTTACTGCTTGTGAAGTTGACATACTGCACTGTACTAATATCCTGGATAACCTCTGGCATGAGTTCAGTCATGTCAATTTGGTAGGGTTCATCTTCAATAATTAGGTTTTTTATCTTGTCACTGACAGCAAAAATAGCTAGGAGACTAAACTAAAAACGATTAATGGCTATGCTGTTATCCTTTCTTGGCCGAGACTACCTTATTCTGGCCAATTCTGCATGGGTGTCAATCAAACCTTGAATTTCAAGTAGTGAAGTATATTGATCAGAGGTATGGAAGTTTTTAAAGTTTAGTGCCTGAAGCTGGAATCGTAACAGAACTTGGGTCCTTAGGCTTTCTAGAGATGGTACTCTTCATGTAGGGCTGGCTAAAATACTTATCTTGGTGACTGTTGCTCTACAGTTTCTTATGCAAAGAATTCTATAGTCTGATAAGCATTTCAGCAATAACATCTTACTTTCTTTTGCTGAAGTCCTTGGTTCCATCCTAGTGCTTGTCAGTCCCATTAGAATTTGCGTCTCACTGTTGCCTGATTCTACAGCACATTTAAAAATAGACTCTTAGCCTTAGAATATTGCCTTGGAGTTTGCAGAGACTGTCCACTCATATGGGTGAATGAGGACCAAACCATTAGACTGGTATCTTACTATGGGAGTTTGGGTTGGGGGAGTAACTGTTAAATGCTAATTAGAGCCTTGAAGGTTAAGATAAACTGTGAGATAAAAATAATGATCCTTTTGTAGTATGAAAGAGTACTTATTCCTGTCAGTCATTGAGCTACCCATAGACTTTACAGGTGGAGAACCTGAGGAGGGGACAGAATTGAGATGAAAAGTAGGTATTGACTGAATAGCTAAGAGGTGAGGAAAATGAGGATGAAGCAAAAGATTAACAGGGTGTCTTAGTTTGGGGTTCACAAGCTAGAAGCAGTAGACACCCATGTGTGCACTCCCAGGCAAGCACGTGAAATTGTACACAGATAATATATGGGATATGAAGCCAGGTCTTACATAGCGATAGAGCTTGAAGCTAAACAGGTGGTCTGGGAAACTGGAATGAAAGCTTGCATATCCTAGTCTGCCCAAGGCTGTGCAAAGCCAGTGGGATAGCAGGTGGCCAAAATGTGAAATGCCAGATTGTCACAGCTTCATGCGTTTGACAGTTGAAGTTCAAAAGAATGCATGGTATCCACAGCTTCAGATGGATTAGTACCTGCACGTGAGTTGGCTGCTTGGCTCTGTGCACAACAACAAAATCAAACTGACAAGCTCTGTTTCTGAAGTACTGTTCTGTTGCATTCTAGACATACTGCCATTTAAACTTGGTTTTTAGTATATTATGAATGTGCCCAATTCACTTGTGGTTAGAAGAGGCAAGTAGCAGAGGGAACCTCAGGCTTGAAGTAGAAAATGAAGCCCCATGCCTTGGGAGGAAATTAATCTAGATTGTACCATTGTGACTTTCAGTGTGATAGGTTGTTTTTTTATAATATGAGGCTTATGCATATGGAGAGAGGTGACCTATCATTTGTAGAAAATAAGTGACTGGCAGTCTCTTTGTGAGAGATAAGGAGACAAACTTGAGACAATGATCTGTAAAATACAGCTGCATCAGAAGATTTTTTTTTTTATAGCCTTAACTACAGTGTAAGTGTAAATTGTGCCGTAAAATTCTATGGTGTGGAATACTGGAAAGACCTTCCTATGGGGAGTGTAGTCTGGCCGATTGAAATTAATCCACTCTCGCTGATGGAGAAAGGGTGTGTTTTCATGATTAAAAACAACCAACCCCCCACCTGACATTTCTGTAGCATTTCTGTAGCAGAGGATACAAAGTCTTTTTTTAACTTCACATTTAGCTATATTTTACTGTTAAATTTTGAATTCCTGTCCCTTTCCCTCTGAAGTCCATGGAAGTTGTTTTTCAACTGTGTGATACCTTTGATTTGATTACTGTGAGGATGATGAATAATTATCGAACTTGTGCAAAATCACCGGTTTGCACAAGGCAAGGTGTTTGCAACTGAAAAAGCTTCCATTTGAAGCTTCCAACCACATTTAAAATACTTGGGGGGGGGGGAGATGAGTACAACTGTAGCACTTATGACATTTTTATATCAGACTCAATAGTTTCAAGTATTTGAAATTAAAATTAGCAGTGATGTAGCTATGGTCAGTTGTCACAAAGTACTTATTTTTAATATTGTTGGGGGTCACTTGAAATCTTAAAGGAAATGTTCTAGAAGTCTGAGTAGAGTAGCAGTTTGTTAAAACTTGGTCAAAATAAGACATGCACTGAAAATTCTTAATGCTTTCTAAAAGTGTTAGGTCTTGGAGAGGACATGGTATTAAGTGTGGTTTTGGTAAGTGTTAACTTATTAGTATTTTTGCATGTTGCATTTTGCAGCCTGTTTCATTTTTTTCTTTAAAACTAATTTGCTTGGTCCCAGTTTTTGCAATTCTCAATGTTTTTTTTTTTAAAAAAGCTGTCACCTGAGTATATTGCACTGTCTCTTTAAGTTTGAAATAAAAAGCATGCTGTTACTGTATTGTTTTCTTCACTGATTTTATTAATCAATCTCAAAGGCTTAAAATAGAGAGCTAGTTTATTCATAAACTGCCTTTTCTTTATATCCAGAAACTAGCTTGTTAAGTAGAGTTAATGAGATCTGGGCAGCTGGCATTGATTAGGAAGACTTTGAAAGAACATCTTACACTATAAAAATGGCTTTTGCATGATGATGCAAGTAGATATAGTTTCCAAAATGTCGCTTAAATGACTAGCTTTGTGAGGATGGAAATCACAAAATAATACCTGAAAAGGATAATCTGTGGTGCATTACATTACAGATGTGCCATTTAAGCAGACATCTTCTGTAGCTGTAGCGGGGGCTGTAATTGGAGCAGTTCTTGCTCTCTTTATCATTACCATCTTTGTGACAGTACTATTGACTCCAAAGAAAAAAAGGCCATCCTACCTTGACAAAGTGTAAGTATCTTAATTTCCTAAATTAGAAGCAATAAGCATGAAGTTTTTGGCTGTATTTATAGTTACTTGATAAGAAACAAAACTTTAGTGTGTACTACAGTCAATCTCTGAACCCAAAAGTGGTGTTGAGAAATTGAACATTGCGGAATCACCAGGATTTATAAAACAAAAAAACAAGCATAGTTAAACCAAGTGTGTTAAGTATCTTTCCCCTAGAAAAGCGCAGCTGTTTCCAAGGCAAAAAAGGGTTTTCATTTTTTAAAGTGCCCTAGTACACAATACTCTTAACATCTGTTAAAACTAAAATATGAAAGACGAGAGAAGCAGTTAGTCATACACAAAACACAACAAATAAAAAAATCAAAGAACTAATGTACCTAATAGTAAATAACATTTATCCCCCACCCACAAGCATACAACTTACTATTGCCACAGCTACCTAGCAAATGACAAATCTCAAACTTACCTTGAGTCACCTTTCTGCACATTCATTTATCAGGTTTTTTTTCTCCAACAGTATAAATTACGGATGTTTAGTGTAGTAACTTGTTCTAGTAGTAGATAGGTAAGTGCAAAAATTGTGTGCAGAATGGCAGTTCAAGGGTGATAACTGTCATCCCTAGGAGGGGTTGAGTTAAGGTTGCCTAGTTTGAAGTTAAGAAGCCTCCCCACCTCCAAGTGGCAGTTACATGTTCTCTGAAATAACAGCACTGAAGGAGCAGTGTCATAGTTAAGATTAAAACTACATCCCCTGAGATCATGTACTTGAAATGAGAAAAAAACAGCTTTTAGGCTGAAAATTTCATATTCTTGAAATTTTAGTACATGGTTAAAATGTGGCCCAACCTGTTGTTGGAGTAATTTTTACAAGCTCTTATATACTTGGGAGCTTTGCTCATATGGTGGTGAAACAGTTGTCCTGGAAGTAGTCCTAAATTGGGGAAAAAAATGCTTACAAGGATTTGATTGTGCCCTTCAATAGAACAAATATAGCTGGTAATTGAATAGACACATATCCTTAAACATCGAGGTACTCTGAAGATACCTTGGGGGGGAATCAGTTCTTCGTCAGTGTTACAGCAAACAAGTACTGGAAAAACTCACTTTAAAAAAGGTTAGACATGCCTACTCCACAAATTAGTTGCCTATGCTTTTTTACATGAGCTCCTTTTAAAGATGATAAAGCAGTAATGGATTAAAAAATGCTTCAGGACACTGTTTTAGTAAGTTGAAGTAAATTGCATAAGCATACTACCTTAGTATTTCAAGCAACCTATAATCTGTTGGTGTTTTTAAAACATTTGTTGCCAGTTAACGTAACAATTGTAACCTCAGACATAATAAAAACAGCTTTGGTTTAGGAGTTGATAGAAATCTAGCAAAGCCTAAAAGGAGGGACAAGGTCCTCTTAGAGGTAACTAGTAGTAAGGAAAAAAGTTGTTGACTTTGAAGTATATAGCATAAGGTAACAGTAAATTACAGTTTCAACGTTTAAAAAAAAAAAAGCCTGATAAACATTCTAATGCTTGAAACTATAATGAAAATGTAAGAAATTCTATCATTTGTCCCAAATGAGACTAAATGTATGGGTTTAATAACAGGCAAGCTGACGGTCAGGGAAGAGCCTGGGGTTAGAAGATGCACGTTTAGGGCATGTCTACACTTACTGGTAGATTGACACTGCTGCAATTGATGCAGCGCGTGCTGATTTATCAGGTCTGGTGAAGACCTGCTAAATCGATGGGAAAGCACTCTCCCATTGATTTGTGTACTCCACCTCCCGGAGAAGTGTAAGGGAAGTCACAGCGCAGTGTAGTCACGTCAGTAAGCGGATCTAACTACATTGACTTCAGTTACATTATTCACGTAACTGAAGTTGCATGAGTTAGATCGATTTACTGCAGTAGTGTAGACCAGCCCTTAGAGCCAGGTTTTAGCTGGATTATTTGGGGAGGTGCTTAAGAAAACTAGGTACCCACCTCCCATTGAAGGTAACTTAATATTTGGGTGAATGTCTCATTTAAAAATAGCAGCTTTTATTACTTGAAAGCTACATGTTGATCAATATCACGTCACTCTTTCCCCCTTTTTTTCTGTTTCCCTTTTCTCCAAAATACTATCTTAAGGTATGTCTACACTACAAAATTAGGTCAAATTTATAGAAGTTGATTTTTTAGAAAGCGATTTTATACAGTCGATTTGTGTGTGTCCGCACTAAGCGCATTAAGTTGGCAGAGTGTGTCCACAGTACCGAGGCTAGCGTTGACTTTCGGAGCTTTGCACTGTGGGTAGCTATCCTACAGACTCCGCTGCCCATTGGAATTCTGTGTTGAGCTCCCAATGCCTGATGGGGCAAAAACATTGTCGCGGGTAGTTTTGGATACATGTTGTCAGTCGTTCCTCTCCCCGTGAAAGCAACGGCAGACAATTGTTTTGTGCCTTTTTTCCCATGTGGGCGCTATACTGCTTTCATCAGACGGTGCAGTAGGTCCACAAACAGTAGTCATCCAACAACTGCTGCCACTCTGCTCTCCTGGTGGTCCCGCAGAACCTCTATATGACCATCGTCATCTGCTGCTTCTGCTGCAACTTTGCTCAGCTGCTCTTGTTTCGCCATACCATGGCAAACATGTGGCCCACTCAGCTGTTGTGTCCTGGCAGGAGATGGTGCAGTAGGTCTGCAAAACTGGTCATCCAACCTCTGCGTCCCCTGCAACTCTGCTCTCCTGCAGACTCCATACCACAGCAAGCATAGAGCCCACTCAGATCACTGTAGCAGTTATGAGCATTGTAAGCACCTTGCACATTATCATGCAGTATATGCAGAACCAGAACCTGCAAAAGCAGGTGAGGAGGCGACGGCAGCGCAGTGATGAGAATGATAAGGACGTGGACACAGACTTCTCTCAAAGCATGGGCCCAGGCAATTTAGCCATCCTGGTGGCTCATGCCATGGAACGCTGATTCTGGATCCGGGAAACAAGCACAGACTGGTGGGACCGCATAGTATTGCAGATCTGGGATGATTCCCAGTGGCTGCAAAACTTTCACAAGTATAAGGGCACCTTCATGGAACTTGGTGACTTGCTTTCCCCTGCCCTGAAGCGAAATAATACCAAGATGAGAGCAGCCCTCACAGTTCACAAGCGAGTGGCGATAGCCCTCTGGAAGCTTGAAATGCCAGACAGCTACCAGGCAGTCGGGAATCAATTGGAGTGGGCAAATCTACTGTGGGGGCTGCTGTGATCCAAGTAGCTAATGCAATCACCAACCCAAGGGTAGTAACTCTGGGAAATGTGCAGATTATAGTGGATGGCTTTGCTGCAATGGGATTTCCTAACTGTGGTGGGGCAATAGATGGAACGCATATCCCTATCTTGGGACTGGAGCACCAAGACAGCCAGTACATAAACCGAAAGGGGTACTTTTCAATGGTGCTGCAAGCACTGGTGGATCACAAGGGATGTTTCACCAACATCAGCGTGGGATGGCCAAGAAAGGTACGTGATGCTCGCATCTTCATACAGACCAGAGTTCTGAACAGCTGCAGCAAGTGACTTACTTTCCAGACCAGAAAATAACTGTTGGGGATGTTGAAATGCCTATAGTTATCCTTGGGTACCCTGCCTACCCCTTAATGCCATGGCTCATGAAGCTGTACACAGGCTCCCTGGACAGTATTCAGGAGCAATTCAACTATAGGCTGAGCAAGTGCAGGATGGTGGTAGAATGTGCATTTGAACGTTTAAAAGCGTGTTGGTGCAGTTTACTGACTAGATTAGACCTCAGTGAAACCAATATTCCCATTGTTATTACTGCTTGCTGTGCGCTCCACAGTATCTGTGAGAGTAAGGAGGAGATGTTTATAGCGGGATGGAAAGTTGAGGCAAATCGCCTGGCTGCTGATTACACGCAGCCAGATGCCAGGGTGGTTAGAAGAGCACAGCAGGGTGTGCTGTGCATCAGAGAAGCCTTGAAAACCAGCTTCATGGCTGACCAGACTATGGTGTGACAGTTCTGTTTGTTTCTCCTCGATGAAAATCTGCCCCCTTGGTTCACTCTACTTCCCTGTAAGCCAACCGCCCTCCCCTCCCCGCTTCGATTACCGCTTGCAGAGGCAATAAAGTCATTGTTTCAAATTCATGCATTCTTTATTAATTCGTCACACAAATAGGGGGATAACTGCCAAGGTAACCCGGGAGGGGTGGGGAAGGACAAGGCCACATAGCACTACAAAACTTATTGAATGCCAGCCTTCTGTTGCTTGGGCAGTCCTCTGGGGTGGAGTGGTTGGGTTCCTCCCTCTGCCCCCCCCACGCATTCTTGGGCATCTGGGTGAGGAGGCTATGGAACTTGGGGAGGCGGGCAGTTGATTACACAGGGGCTGCAGTGGTGGTCTGTGCTCCTGCTGCCTTTCCTGCAGCTCAACCGTATGCCGGAGCATTTCGGTTTGATCCTCCAGTAGCCTCAGCATTGCATCCTGCCACCTCTCCTGTTGCTTCAGCCATCTCTCCTCTCGCGCGTCCCTCCTGTCCATGCGTTCATTTTGTGCTGCCTGGATTCTGCCTTTGTCTGCCTCCACGCATTCTGCTGAGCTCTTTTAGTGCAGGAGGACTGCATGAGCTCACAACATTCCATCACGAGTGCATTTGTTTTCACTGCCTCATCTGCGCTAGCCTCTGGGAGGGAGATGCTAGTTGCAGTGTTGAAACACTTGCAGCTGTGGGAGGAAAAAAAAGGGAGAGTAAAATTGAAAAAGACACATTGGCCATTTAAAAGGAGGAGCTGATATTTTCAGGTTAACGTGCAGCACAAACCGAACTAACCCCCGCCACACACACAATTCTCTGGGATGATCGCTTCACCCCTCCCCCCACCGCGTGGCTAACAGTGGGGAGGATTTCTTTTCAGTCCCAGGCAAACAGTCCAGCAGGAATGTCCTCTGAATGTTCCCTTAATAAAATTCCCCTATTTCAACCAGGTGACCATAAATGATATTACTCTGAGGATAACACAGAGATAAAGAACAGATGTTGCTTGAATGCCAGCAAACACCGAGACCACACGCTGCCATGCTTTCTAATGCAATGATTCCCAATTACATGCTACTGGCCTGCTGTGGTAAAGCATCCTACCATGGATTCAATAAGGCTGCCCTCCCCAGAAACCTTTTGTAAAGGCTTTGGGAGTACCTCCAGAAGAGCTTCATTGAGATGTCCCTGGAGGATTTCCGCTCCATCCCCAGCCACATTAACAGACTTTTTGAGTAGGTGTACTGGCCACGAATGCATCCCAAGGCTTCAGGGCAAATTAATCATTAAACACGCTTGCTTTTAAATGGTGTATTTTATTTACAAAGGTACACTCTGCCTTCAAGGTCCGGGAGCCCGGGTTGGGATGGTATTGGCTCCAGGGTGATAAACAGTTCCTGGCTGTCAGAGAGAACGGTTTCTCCACTTGCCTGGTGTGTGCTATCTTTACCCTCCCCCTCCTCCTCATCTTCCTTGTCCCCAAAATCCTCATCCCTGTTGTGTGAGGCTCCCTTGCAGGAGTCCACGTACAGGTGTGGGGTAGCTGTAGGGGCACCCCCTAGAATTGCATGCAGCTCGTCATAGAAGCAGCGTGTCTGGGGCTCTGACCCCGAGCGGGCATTTGCCTCTGTGGTTTTTTGATAGGCTTGCCTGAGCTCCTTAAGTTTCACACAGCACTGCTGCTCCCTGTGATAGCCTCTGTTATATTAGCATCTTCATGCCTCTTCATGCCCTTGGAGATTTTTTTCAAATATTTTGGCATTTTGTCTTTTGGAAATTCCTATAGCACAGATTCATCTCCCTATACAGCGATCAAATCCAGTACCTCCCATTCGGTCCATGCTGGAGATCTTTTGCGATTCTGGGACTCCATGGTCACCTCTGCTGATGAGATCTGAACGGTCACCTGTGCTGATCAGCTTGCCACAGTGGCCAAACAGGAATGAAATTCGAAAGTTTTCAAGGCTTTTCCTGTCTACCTGGCCAGTGCATCCAAGTTGAGTGCTGTCCAGAGTGGTCACAATGGAGCATGCTGGGATAGGTCCCAGAGGCCAATACCATTGAATTGCATCCACACTACCCCAAATTCGACCCAGCCATGTTCATTTCAGTGCTAATCCCCTTGTCAGGGAGGAGTACAGAAATTGATTTTAAGAGCCCTTTAAGTCAACAAAAATGGCTTCGTTGTGTGGACAGGGTTAAATCGCTCTAACGCTGCTAAATTCGACCTAAACTAGTAGTGTAGACCAGGGCTTTAGTGACTTTGGATTTTTAAGAAAGCAAATTTTAGGAGGTGACTGATAGGCCCGTACAATGATTGACATGACTATCTTACAAAAGTATCCCCGTATGAGGTAACTTTTTAAAAAGAACGTAGGCTTTAAAAGACAAAATAGAGTTTAAGCAAACTTAAATTAAGGACTTCTAATGAACATACACATATGTATGTCTTTGTTACACAAAAGAGAATATCCACTAAAATGTACGTAAAGGTCTAAATTTAATGCTTTAAGTCACTGTTACAAGAGAAACTTAAACAACTTAGTTGACTTATATAAATATAACTAAATAGAGACTTCCTGAAAAGTGAAGGGAAATCCTTGTCTTGCAACTCTGCCGTTTAACTACATTTCATGTTGAAGGGGAAACAATAGAAATTTAAGTTAACATAAACAGGGTGGTAAGAAGTCAGAAGTTGCTCTTTGACTTAAATGCTTTAAGTACCACGTGATGATAATCAACAATTCATAGTCTCTCATTCTTGAGTTTACACTTCTCCAACTCAAATTTAACCACATAAAATATGTAACTTAAATTTCTTTGACTTTCACGTGGATTAAACACTTATATCAGCTATCTATATAGTCTTAAACTGCTATATTATGTAAATTGATGCTAATGAAATGAGGGGTGCCCAACCTGCAGGCTGTACACTGTGTACCAGAGCGTTTCATAAGGCCCGTGGCCTGCTTAGCACAATATACTAATAGACGATTCATTAGCGTTTTGTCCTCATGTTTACATCATTTTACAAGTGTGTAAATACACAATACTGTATAGAGGTTGTTTTTATCTAAGTAGATACGAAACAAGCTGAACTTAAAATGTAAATTAATACAGGTGACTTTAAATCTTGTGAAAATATGTATAATCTGTTTGGCCCACACAACATTGTGCTAAGGTTTGAGGCCCTCCTGTGTAATAAGGTTGGGTCCCAATGAATTAAAGGAATTATCTGGGTACCTCAAATGAAATGAATTGATTAGACACAGACTAAAAGGGGCATTTTTTTTCCCCCTCAGGAACATTACATATGAAATACTTAATCAAAAACTAAAACACTTAACTAACCCAGGCACAAAGAACAAAATCTTGAAAAGTGCTTCAGTTACTTGGTGCTCAGTTTAACGTTTAAAAAATAGACTGTTTTGAGGAGGGAGGGAGTGCCAAGGATTGATCTAGTGAAAATCCAAGGTCCCTACAAAGGGTTTATCTGGATAGAATAGAAAATTTGCATTAAATCATACGTTCATTCTTAGGTGCTGCTTCACTTGTTCATAATTGAACTACACACTACAGTAACATAGAAAACAAAACTCTAGGCTCAGATGTTTAACTGCAGTTGAAGTTCATGGGATCATCATGAATATTAAGTGGACAAAAATAAATCCATGAGGTACTAGTCAGATGGGACTTAACTGACTAACTCTTCATCACTAAAAGAATCCTTAAACTACATGTTAAATGAACAGTAATATAAACAAGTGTAGTTCAGTCTTATTTTTTCAGGTCTGCAATGCATTGTTAAAATCATTCTAGTTTACTTTGGCTGTTCTGGGACAGTAAAGATTTAACAGCTCCTCCAGTTGCCTAGCACCTACACACTCACGTCTTCCTTAGTATATATTATGAGCTCCAGCTTCCAACTTCCCCTTCCATGCTGGTACTTGGAGACAGATGTAGAGAACACATTTACTTTTTTGGTTCTCTCCTTTTCTGTGTGGAAATACTTTATCTTAATTAATGAAGATTCACAAATTAGGTATTCTCAGAAGAGAAGAGGTAACTTTCAAAGTAAGCACTTACCTTAAGATTTACTCAAATCTAACAAAATTCATTAAGGATGATAATGTTGGGATTCCCTCAGACCTCTCTCCATCAGCTTCCCAAGAACTCAATTCCACTTCATCACTCAGGTATTTTTATTTGGCGTACAATAGTGCTATGTGGAGTTGATAAGACTCAAAAGCGGGGGGCTGGATGCAGGGTACTTCACAGCTCCAAAGTTACTCTCTCACTTTTATATACATTACACATCCCTTTGCATTTACTATGCATTACATCACATATTTGTGTATTGGCTTGGTTACTTTGCGAGAACCAGTGCCCGTGCAGCATGTATTGTCCATGCTCTGTCCATGGTTCGGCTTCCTCTTTATCTCATCTCTACATTCCTAGTTTGTCTCTTATGTAGGTCATAACAAATAGTTCACTGTGTTCTCCCTCTTAGGTTAGTTTGCTCAGATATTCTTTTTAGTTTACTGACCTATATACTTACCTTAGTGCATATGTCCTGTTTTCAGTCCAATGATTGTTACTACCTAATCCTGTCTTCCAAAGAATGAGGTCTCCCTGTGTGTGTTAATTACTCATGTCAGGCTAGGCCTCAGCTAGAAATTATATCCCTAACATTTGAGTATTCATAGTTAAGGTTCTTAGTACACTGAGGTCTTTCCCTTAATTTAAAAAAATATTTTTAATTTGAACATAGAGAAATCAAATAATTCCCATTGTTTCAATTAGTACTTTTTTTCTGTACTGCAGACTGCAAAGTAAGCATCTCATATGCAAGTCTGATTACAAAGAACACATACCATAGGAAGAATAAGTAGAGTTAAAGAATACGAAGGTGCATGTAATTGGTGGTTGCCAATAAGTTACGTTTACAAAACTCAGTTTCATTGTAGATCTATTAGTGGTGCGAGGAAACAAAAACTGTAGAATATGTATCCAGGGCGTTTCTGTGAAGGTATTACTGTGGAGAATACTGATGTTACTGTTCATTTGGTCTTCACAAATATGCCAAGTTAAACTGTATAATCTTTTTATGCAGGATTGATCTTCCACCCACACACAAACCACCACCTTCATATGAGGAAAGAGCCCTTTCTGTATCTCAGAAAGAAGTCATGCTTCAGGTAGGTGAATGAGTAATTTTAACATTTCAAAACAGAGAATAAGCATGTGCTAACTAACATTATGTTGCTTACAAGAATACTTCAGTGTTATATGTACAGGTCCTTGTAACGGGAATTGACTAATGTTGGATTTTTGCAACATGATGATTTAAACTTAAGTGGAAGAAACAACTTTTACTGAAGTATTAAAAGGGTTTAATTTTAATTAGCTATTTGTTTTCTCTATAATATATTAACTTTACATGGAAATGCTGTAATTTGCTGAAATTGGCATGTATTAAACACAACTGCCATAGCTGCTCTAAAGCAAAATAACTCGTAAATGATAGTTGGTTATTTTATGCTTCAGAATATTTTAGTGCACCTGAAAAGATGGGGACAGAACTGCATTGTTAGAAGTATTAATGGTTTGTCAGTGTAAGCTTCCTTACACAGATGAATTAATAATGCCCCCTGCCATGGAAGAACCACAGGAGTGGCCATCCTGTTAGCCTAGTGTATGGTCTTTCAGTAGTGGAGGTGCCTTACAATGATGGCTTCTGTGATTGGGGGAGTGGGGTCAGCAGGTATAGGCCCCTGAGTACCTTTGTCATAATTGAACTAGTCAACTCTGCTGTCAGTCAGACTTGGTTGATTTACTAGAAAGGTTTGTTCTGTATTAAGCAACATACATACAACTAATTTTAACATTCATTACTGAAAGCATCCTCAATGGGGAATATTAGTATTTAACTTTATGTAATGCACTATACCCAACCACCTCATAAAATTTAGAGGTGTTATGAGCCTCAAAACTGAGGCTGGATGTGGATTTTGAACCTCAGACCAGGAGTGAAATCCTGGTCCCATCGAAGTCAATGACAGAAATGACTTCACTCTACCTAGAGTTTCATTCATTAGGAGTGCTCTAATCTGGGCTTCAGTTCAGTATCCATAGTATTGAATGAAATTCTTGTTAAAGCTTTACCATATCAAGCTCCATTGTAATACAGGTTTGTAAAATACTTTGCAAATTCAGTCAATGGGCTGAAATTTTTCTGTAATTCCTTCCTCTTAACTTACTAACCATATAAAGCAAGAAAATTTTGATACACAAGATACTACCGTTTGAATATTGACTGCTCATTTTACCACAACGAGGTGAGAGAGAGAGAGAGGATGCAGCTGGGATAGCCTGAAATAATTAAGGCTCTAGTTATGTGTTAAGGGGAGAAAAAGACCAGTGTGACTGTCTTGTACCTTAAATAGCAGGGAAGGCATCTGTTAGACCTTTGTTTTTTCTTTCACACAATCACTGAGATGAATTGGGTTTAAAAGCAACGGGACTTATTAAGGTGAAATGGGAAGAAAAGGGTGATGGAGATTTGGGCACCAGGAGAAGACTTCAGCTTTGGAACAAAGCTGAGTTTTCACACTGAATGCAGATTTGCCACTTGGTTCACACATTCTATAGTTTTTGTTCAGAATTGCCTGAAGGAAAATTTCTGCAAAAAAACAGCATTTCTTTCACCCTAGTTAAATAGTGAAGTCCTTAATTATGGAGTTATGGACCACTGTAAGACCAATAACATTGTAAGCCTGATGAAAACTTCTTCTCCCTCTCCTCCTGCTCCCCTTCCCCCCCCCCCCCATACACACACAATTCGGTCTCACTCTGATATCTCATAGAGATTGCTTTAAGCATCAAGGCTTAGTGTCTTGCAAAAGTATTAATTATGAAAACTGATGCTCTTATTGATGTAAATGTCCAGTCCCTTGTTAAAATTTGAACATTCTTGACCTCAACTTCTTGAGGCAATCAGTTTCACAATCTAATCACAGATTGTGTGAAAAGTTATTTCCTGAATTCAATTTTGAATTTGCTGTCCGATAGTGTCACTAAATGTCTACTTGTTCTTGTGTAATGAGACTGGGAACTTCTGTCCTCCCTGTCTACCTTCTCTATTCCATTCATTATTTAAATTTTATCATGTCTGCTCTTATTCCTTTTAGTTCTATGGTAAACAATCCTAATATTTTTGCATGCCCTTGATCATTCTCACCACTGTTCTCTGAAACCCTTTGCATTCTGCAATAGACCTTTCTTTGAGATGTGGTGGCCAGTACTGCATCCACTGTTTCAGTTGAGGCCACACAAGTGATGTATACAATGTTCTTATATAAAAACTTTGTATTAGTCGCTATCCTATTCCTTAGGCATCCTGATACCATTTCCTTTTTTTTTAAACCATGTATCTACCTTTAGTAGAGGTCTTCATTGAGCGGCCAACATTGACATCCGTGCCCCTTTTGTAAGAAGATTAAGTCTATTTAGACCCTTGGGAATTGTAAGAGAATTCTTGATTTTTTTTTCCATACAGTGTGCTTTTCTTTGCATTTTTTGACATTGCATTCACCTACTGTCATGCTGCCAAATAACCAAGCTTGTTTAGGTCAGTCTGAAAATCCTCAGTCCTTTGTGGTTCTCACTAATCTATAACTTCATATGAACTGTAAATTTTGTTTCCTCATTACTGGCCTCTCTCCCTACTCCAGACTATTAACAAATATATTAAACTCTTGGCCTTGGTATATAACCTTGGTGCGCTCTATTGTTAACCTTTCACCATAAGAAAAATCAGCCATTTAATTCTACTTTTGACTTTGTTTCCTAGTCAGTTACTGAACCATGACAAAATTTACTTTCTCACGTGATGACCATGTGGACTTTTTGTGGTAACTTATGAGGAATCTTGTCAGAGAATATTTGGAAGCTGAAATTAATATATTTTATCCATTTATCCTTTATCCATTACTTCATTGACATATTCAAAGATCTCTAAGATATTGAGACGCAAATTTTCTTTGCAGAAGAGGAGGTTTGGAATGAAGGTATAGAAGAACTTTAACTAAATACACTGTCTTAAAGTTAAAGGTCCTAATGGAGAAAGCAGTGCTTCTTCTTCAAATGCTAGTCCCCATTGTATTGCATTGTGGGGTTACGCATACGCACCATGCATTCAGAGCTGGAGAATTTGAAAGTAGCATCCACTGGTCTGTGCAAGTGCTATGGTTCACCTTATGCTTCTGTCTGAGGGAATAAAGGGCAGGTCATACTAACTGCCTCTCCAGTTCCTTCTCACCACCAAATGAGAACCTTCAGCGTCCATGGCTTTGGCTTCATTCTACAAAATAGGAATTACGTAGTTCATAAATAGTTAACACTTTTAAGAGTTTTTACAGTTAGTGTTAGTCTCCTGAGGGGACCCCCATACCCTGTTTGGGTGCCAGACTATGCCCAGGACTCCAGGCATCAAACTCTGCTTCCTGTCTGCGATTCTTCTTGGTCAGTGATGAGCACCAGCGCTGCCTGTATTACCTTGGGGAAGTCCACATCATGGCGAGGTGCAGTATTTCCCAGTCATTCCCTAGCCATACCTGAGAAGGGCAGGAACTTTTGTCTCCACAGATATCTCATGGAGAAGACCATGTGTCCTCAATCGGACCCAGAATGGGAACCCTCCTCCCCCCTCTGGACTTCATCAGGGCAACCTCAAATTCTACCTCTGCAAGAGCATATCTGCCCAAGAACAGGTTCCAAGCCATGAAAACTATCATCGCTCACGTCCCAAACAATCTTTGAGTACCGGTCAAGTCATGTCTGTCTCTTTCCTAGGTCATATGGCCTCATGCACCTATGTCACCCCATTCAGAAGACTCTATCTTTGTTGCTTTCAAACACAGCTGCAGTCAGTATATTCTCTAAATTGCCATTCCATGAACCTCTTGGTGACATTTCCAGTCAAAGTAGTATTTTCTCTGCTGTGATGGACAAATCCTCATCAGGTATGCATGGGAGTCCCTTCTTCAAGAGTGTTCCTGTGGGTGCTCCACCTTAGGTGTTGGTGCTCCCTGTGCCTGAAATGGCACAGACACCTAAGGAGGAGCACCCACAGGAACAACCATCTTGAAGAACCTCAGTTACTGCACAAGGTGAGTCACCTTCTCTTTTCTCCCTTCCACTCTGGACAGGAGCGTTATTACAGATCCATCCCTGTTAGGTTGGAGAGCCCACATGAACAGCCACACAGCACAAGGTACCTGGACCTCTCGAGTGTTCAGGAAAGCTGAATCCAAAAGAAATCAAATGAAATCTCTTTAGTTGAAACCAAAACGAATATTTTCAGGCATTTTTAAAGTGCTAAATTCACAAAATGGCCAGAGGTGAGCATAGTGCTGCTGCCCTCCTTGGTAAGTTGTAGCTCAGTGGTTAGGACATTCACCTATGGTGTGGGAGACGGGGTTCAATTCACCCATGTGAATTGGTGGGTGGAATTGAATTTCATTGTCCCTTGTTGCAGGAGTCTAGTGGGGAATATGGAATAGTCTGGCGGGGGCTTTGTCAGAGTCTCCTAGTGAAGGTGTAATTATGTGTAAATAAATAATAATTAGTCATTGGAGCATAGACTTGAACGTGAGTGTCCTACGTCCTTGGTGAATGATCTATCCAATGCTACGGAGTCATGCCAGGTTTCTGGCTGAGTGATTCTATTAATTGCCACAATGAATGACCATTGCCACCACCTCTCTCCGTTGGGTATTCTGTGAATGGCCTGTAGGTCTCAGGGAAAAGAAACTTGCTGCAACTATTGGTCAAATTAACAAATTGCTTTGGGTTGATCAAAACTGCATTTTTGGCAAACAAACTATTTGTCAAAAAAAAACTACCAAGCTCTACAGAAGACATTAGTACCACTTGTTGCCTCTACTTTTTGTTAGGGGTCATTAAGAAAAAGGCCTGGTGTTTTTATGGGGAATATTGGAAAAGCAGCAGTACTGTTGTCATATGTGCTTACTTAAAACAGGAAAAGCACAAATTGAACTTCAACTAATTGACTAATTTGAGTGTGAAAGATGAAAAAAATTGAGCAGTTACTGAATCAAGTACGTCTGATGGGTTTCTATTGGACAATGTATTGTAATCAATCTCCTACAACTACTGTAGTTTATAATATGCTGGC